GGAACGAAAAAAATCCCCCACTGTAAAAAAAAAAAAAAAAAAAAAAATACTCAGGAGAGTAAAGGGGGGGGGCAGATACCTTATGCGGGGCTCAAATGTTACAAGCACTTTAAGGCAAAAGGGACTCAAAGGTGCCAGGAGGTCACAGTGCATGAGGTAACACACTGGGGCACTTGAGCAGGTGGCACGATGAATAACCCTGTTTGATCTTGACATGCCATTGCTGCAGGGAGAAGTATAGCTGCACACGATGCTCTGTGTGTGGAAGTGCTGAAGACCTCGGCTGGGCTGGGACTGAGTCTAGATGGAGGAAAGTCATCGGTGTCTGGAGATGGGCCCCTGGTCATTAAGAGGGTGTACAAAGGTAACGTCCTGGACAACTCATCAACCTTCTTCTAGCTATTTTCTTTCTATGTAGATCTTGGAAACTCAGTGCCTTCCATTTGGAAATCCAATTTGTCCTCAGAAATATAAAAAGATCTTAATGCTTTGTGATACACAGAGTTTACTCTGTGGGTGACCCATTTGCGATGTACATGTAGGTACCATTGTTATTCCTATTTTACAAAAAGAGAAACTGAGCCACAGAGAAGTTAAGGAACCATCCAGGTCACACAACTGTAAGTGGCAGACCGGTCTCAAACCCAGGCAGTCTGGCTCCAGAGTCTGAAACATTAACTGTGCCTCTAATGACAACCCCTCGCTCCGTGTCCCTATTTCTGTGTTTTCAGTTGACACTTACTGTTATTGATGTGAACACACCAGGCTAAGAGATGCCATAAGACTTGCCAGTCAGGAGTACATAATATCAGCCAAGGTCTTATTGACTTAAAATACTAGATTTGCAAATACTAAACTGCAAGAAAGATGGGAGGTAGATATTACTGAAATACTTGGTAAATATGAAGTCTCTTCTTAAAGTTCAATAATTCATTTTATGATCGTCTTTTGAGATTTTCTCAAAAATCTCGCCCTCAGACTCCTGAGGTGCACAATTATATTAATAGACTGGTACCAAGAATACCAGTTTATAACTATATATACAAGTAGGTCACAAACCAAAACCTTGATAAATCACAGTGAAGTTTCAGAATACAAAGAATAGTGGACTCTATGGGGCCAGCAGGTAATGTAGTGGTTACAGCACTAGACTTGCACATGGCTGACTGAGGTTCAAGTCCAAGACATGGTGACTTGAAACTCACACTGATCGCAGGTGTGTACATGCCCAAAATCCCAAGAGGAGAGAGAAAGAGGAGACTGTGGCATGGCCATCCCCCCTGGGGGATGATTTCTTACTTTCTCTCTCTCTGTCTCTCTGGTGAGCACACATGCCCTATAGCAAAAAATTTCTCTAAGATAAAAAGAATAGTAGAATCTAGAAAGATAATAAAAAATTGACAGAACAAAAGCACTACAATAGAGTGGCAGTACAGACGCCCAAAACCGACAGAATTAACACCTTCAGAGGACTGAAGGAACATTTTTATCTACTTAAAACTCTGTACCCAGCTAAACTATCATTCAAGAGTGACAGCTAAGTGGAGATATTTTAAGACATATTCACAAAGGGAGCTGGAGTCACAGGACACATACAGTGTCAAGACACTGCCAGTACTGTCCAGTCCAGATCAGCTGAGGAGGCCGGACTTGGGGATCCCTGACTTGAGGGTCCCACAGTAGTTGTCACACTGAAGTAGAGAAGGAGCCCCAGGAGAGATGAGCATCTTATACATCTACTTCTAGCAAAGCAGAGAAACAATGTCCTGGATAACGTCTTGGCCTTTATCTCTAGCATCTGGCTAGAAATCTAAGTGACCTGCTATGAAAATGGATAAACAAGGAGAAGGAAGCATCTGTTCCCCAGACTAGCATTTTAAATGCTCTTATATAAAAGCCTACAGTTTTCTTTCTTTCTTTCTTTCTTTTTTTTTAGGTTTTTGTTATAGGGCACATGATATAGAGATTGAAAATGTGGGCACACAATTTGTCACTATATGTTCTTCTTGATTGAAAAAACTGAAATACTCAAATGTCAAGCCAATATAAATAATTTACCAAGACTGATGAATTCAGTCAACATAGAGATCACTAGAATGCCCTATATATCAATAATAACAATGACTTTACATTTTCATAGGAAGATTTCTTAAACATAACAGAATACATAACATTATGTATTTTATTTTGCTATAGGGTGCATGTTCTCACCAGAGAGAAAAAGAAGGAGAACAAAAGTAATAAAAGTACCCCTCTTCCCCTCACAGGGTGAATAGCCATGTTGCAATCCCTTCTCCTCTGCTCTCCTCTCAGGATTTTGGGCATGTACACATACACACCCAGCATGTTTTTCAAGGCACCAGTCTGGGACTAGAACCATGCAGTCAGCCTTGTGGGGATCCGATAGCCTTAACCACTACACCACTGGTCGGCCTGAAAAGTACACATATTAAAAAATATAAAGTGTTTAGCTACTACAAATTGAGGATCCCTTATCCAAAATTCTTGAGCTCAGAAGTATTTCAGATTTGGATTTTTTTTCAGATTTTGGAATATTTGCAAATATATAATTTCTTGGGGTTGGGCACCAGTCTAAACATAAAAATAATTTACTTCATATACACTTTATATACATTGCTTGAAGGTAATTTTATACTTTGTAGTGCAGCATTTTGTCTTGGACCCACTGTAAGAGGTTAGATGTGGAATGTCTACTTGTGGCATGATGTCAGCTCTCAAAAAGTTTCAGATTTAGGAGCATTTCAGATTTTTTTTTTTTTTTTTGGATTGGAAAAGCTCTACCTAAGGGCCAGCAGGTGGCATGGTGGCTAAGGGCACTGGACTCCCACATGGCTGACTGCGGTTTGAATCCCAGACCTGGCAGCTTGCTTTCTCACTTTTCTTCTCTCTTTCACTCTATCTCTCTCTGGTCAAATTGAAATGGATAAATAAATAAAGTTAAAATAATTCTTTAAAAAAAAAAAACAAGCTCTACCTATCTATGGCAAATTTTTTTTCTTTCTTTTTTTAAATATGGTTTTTTTCTTTATTCATGATAGAGCATGTGCATGCATATGAGAGAGATGAGGAGAGAGATGAGCACCCTACACAGGGTCTAGTCAAACCACCATCCCCTTCACCAGTCTGTTGACTCTTGCACACTCACCTGCATGCCCAGCATGTTTCAGGCTGACAGGGCCAGGGATTCAAACCACAGTCTTTCCATGTGGGATCTGGCTTCTCTTAAGCTGGATGCACAGCTGTGCCATGGAGCTAGCCCTGGCCAAAAGGAAAAAAAAAAAAAGAGCAATATAAAGATATAAGTGACTGACTAATAGATGTTTGCAATAATTTAATCAACAAAGAGTTAATGTCTAAAGTTTATAAAGATGCATAATTCAGTAAGAAAAATACAAAAGAAAAAGAAAATTTAGGTAAAGGAAATAATAGAAAATTGCTAAGGTACAATTCAAATGGCCAGAAAACACAGGAAAAAATGTTCAAACTTTAGTTAGTTATTGGGTGAAGATGATTAACTATGAGGAATCATCTTTTAAATCTATCAGATTGGCCAAAAATAAGAAACCTCATAATATGATGTGTCGGCAAGGATGTGAAGAAAGGAAAGCACTCATTCCTCCTGGTAGAACTAAATGTTGTTTTATCTCTCTAGGGAAAAATTTGGCAGTGCTTACTAAAACAGAAGCTATGAAACAAATTAAGTTACTGTCTACAACAGAATGACAAGTAAAATACATTCATAAAAAGAAAAGCCATAAAGCAACTGAAGAAATAAATTAGATGTTTATATATTAACCAGGAACGGCTCAAAAACAGTGTTGAATAAAAAATGAAAAATATCAAGTGTGGATTCAGCACTCTGATAACAATTCCTAACAACCACTGTGAGGAACCTAAAAATGTGTCCAGCAAAAGCTCTGCAAGACCAGTGCCAGCAGGTGGCATGGTAGTTAAGGCACTGGACTCCCACATGGCTGAGCACGGGTTGAGTCTAGCAACTTGCTCTCTCACCGTCCCTCTGTCTCCCTGTCTGTTTGTCTCTGGTGTGTGCACATGCCCTATAGCAAATTAAATAATAATAATAATAATGAATAAATAAAAGTTATGCAAGACCTTTGGGGGAAAGCATAATTAATTTGCTTTAGGACACACATGCTCACCATAAAGAGAAAGAGAGTGAGAGCAAGAGGGAGAGCACGCGTGTGAGAGAGAGAAAGCAAGCTGCTCTATCCGGGAATTGAACTGTGGTTAGCCATGTGAGAGTTCAGTGACTCAACCACCATACCATCTGCTGACTCAATTTCTATTTGTTTGGGTTTTTTTACGAGAGATTTTTGCAATAGGACACATGCACTCACCGGAGACAGATGGCCATGTCACAATCCCTTCTCCATTCTCCTGTCAGGATTTTGGTGTGCACACACACACATGCCTGGCTGAGTTGTTTTTTGTTTGTTTGTTTGTTTGTTTGTTTGTTTTAGAGGTTTTTGCTATAAGGGCACATGCACTTGCCAGACAGAAAGAGACAGAGAGACAGCGAGAAATCACCCCCCCAGGGGGGATGGCCATGCTGCAATCTCTTCTCCTCCATTCTCCTGGGATCTTGGGCATGCACGCACATGCGCCCGGCATGAGTTTTTAGCTACCGGGTCCGGGACGTGAACCGCAGTCGACTATATGGGAGTCCAGCGACATAGCCATTATGCTAACTGCTGGTCCCAATGCCTGGCTGAGTTTTAAGGTGCAGGGTCTGGGACTTGAATTGTCGTAGACTAAATGGGAGTCCAGAGACAACCATTACACCATCTGCTGGTCCCGTGTTGTTTTCTATTTTTCTTTTTAAAGAATTTTTTTTAAAAACTTTATTTATTTAATTTGAGCAGAGAAGGACAGAGCAAGAGAGAGGGAAAGAAAGTGAGAAAGCAAGTCATCAAGTCCAGGACTTGAACCAGTTGGCCATGTGGGAGTCCAGTACCCTTAGTTACCATGCCACCTGCTGGCCCCCCATGTTGTCATTTCTGATTTTCTATTACACGGAGCCAAGCTGATCTGAGCAGGTCGTGTCTTCCTCTTTTTCCATTTACTGAGTTGTTTTTTTTGTTGTTGTTTCTTTTTTTTTCTTTTTTTCTTTTTTTTTTTTTTGGTAAAGATAGTGTTTATGTTTTCTCACGTGCACGCTCTCCTTCTCACTCTGTCTCACATGTGCCCTAAAGCAAATTAAATAATAAATAAAATTGAATAAGTAATTCTTTAAAAAAAAAAAAAAAAGGTTCATGTCTTTCTCATACAAAAGAATTTCAAAAGGTAGTACCCCCTTTACTGCACTACACTAAATGCTTCCGAAAGGCCTTCATCTCCCTCCTGTCATTTGGTCTTATGACAGTCCAGTAAAAGAACAAGACAAATAAGCTTGTAGATTGGCTACCACCTACCCAAAGCCAGAACACAGAAATGTAATAAGCTTCGTGCACAAGTAATAAATCTGCATAGTCACTGCTAAGAAGTATTAACTACTGATTTTTAGAACTTGGATTTATCAGCCAGTATGTTAACAATCAGAAGTTGAGCCTGGTTTCCTGTGTTTATTGGCTCTTTGGATGTTAGGTGTTGAAAACTTTTGTTCAGCTTTTTCTTTATTTTGCATTATTCTTATTGATTCATAGTTCTTTAGTCTGGATCTTAACCCTTTGTTGGCTAATGCTTTGAAAATATCTTCCTCTTGTCATTTTTTTAAATTATTATTATTATTATTATTATTATTATTATTACTTTGGAGAGGTTTTTGCTATAGGGCTCGTGCACTTGTCAGAAAGACCAGAGACAGAGAGACAGAAAACAAGAAATCACCCCCCAGGGGTATGGCCATGATGCAATCCCTTCTCCTCCATTCTCCTCTCGGGATCTTGGGCACGCACGCACACATGCTTGGTCTGAGTTTAAGTCACCGGGTCCAAACTCGAACTGCAGTGAACTACATGGGAGTCCAACAACATAGCTATTACGCCAATTGCTGGTCCCTTAAAGAATTATTTAACTGGGAACCAGCAGTTAGCGTAATGGCTATGTCGCTGGACTCCCACGTAGTCGACCGCGGTTCGCATCCCGGACCTGGTAGCTTAAAACTCACACCGGGCACGTGTGCATGCATGCCCAAGATCCCGAGAGGAGAATGGAGGAGAAGGGATTGCGGTGTGACCATCCCCCCTGGGGGGTGATTTCTCGCTTTCTGTCTCTATGTCTCTCTCTGTCTGTCTGGCGAGCGCACGCACCCTCTAGTGAAAACCTCTCCAAAAAAAAAAAGAATTATTTAACTTTATTTTATGTATTTATTCCAATTTGACCAGAGAGGAGTAAAATGAGAGAGAGAGAATAAGAAAGAAAGCAGCCAAGTCTGGGACTTGAACTGTGGTCGGCCATGTGGGAGTCCAGTGCCCTTAACCACCAGCCATCTGCTGGTTCCTGTCAGTTGCTTTTATATTTATTTTTTTTTTGAGAGAGATTTTTGCTATAGGGTGTGTGCGCTCGCCAGACAGACAGAGACAGAGAGATAGAGAGAAATCACCCCCCCAGGGGGGATGGCCATGCCACAATCCCTTCTCGTCCATTCTCCTCTCAGGATCTTGGGCACGCAAGCACACGCGCCTGGCTCGAATTTTAAGCCACCGGATCAGGGACACAAACCGCAGTCAACTACATGGGAGTCCAGCGACATAGCCATTACACTAACTGCTGGTCCCTCTCAATTGCTTTTTACCTTGTATTTTTGGGGGAGACAGGGGAGGTAGAGTTTAATTTTTTAATGTAATTCCATTTATTTTTATACACATGTACTTTTTGTGTTTTAAGAAATATTTCCCAGAACCAGCAGATGGCATAATGGTTACATCACTGGACTCCCACAGAGTTGACCACCGTTTGATTCCCAGACCCAAAAGCTAAAAGCTCACTCTGGGCATGTGTGCACAGAGAAGAATGGAGAAGGGATTGTGGAGTGGCTATATCCCTGGGGGGTGATTTCTCGTTTTCTGTCTCTATGTCTCTCTCTGTCTGTCTGGTGAGCGCACGCGCCCTATGGCGAAAACCTCTCCAAAAAAAAAAGAAAAAAGAAATTCCCCTACCCTAATATACATTTAGAGATTTTTTTTCATTTAGAGACTTTTCTCATGTACGTTTTAATTTACTTGGAATTTTGTATAAATACTACAGAGTACAACATTTTTCTGTATTTATTCTCACAGGTGGAGCAGCAGAACAAGCTGGAATAATAGAAGCTGGAGACGAAATTCTTGCTGTTAACGGGAAACCCCTGGTTGGGCTCATGCACTTTGATGCCTGGAATATTATGAAATCTATCCCAGAAGGACCTGTGCAGTTAGTAATTAGGAAGCATAGGAATTCTTCATGAATTTTAACAAGAATCTCTTTTTCAGTTTCCTTCTTCCTTAGCAAATCAGAATGCTTTCTTTAAACAGTGGGTTCTTGAAACAACAAACCTTGGTCTAAGGACTGTAGAAATCTCCAAGTTTGTACTTACCTACGAAGCCCGACATACCCATGTGCAACAACAATGAAGCTGAACTCTGGAAGCCTTCCACCCGGCTCTCTCAGGCCGGAGGGTTCACTTTGTCCAGTGCCTGTCCCCTACTTCCTACGTTTGCTGATGGGGATACCAGATGTGACATGCCCTCCTCCACTTGAGACATTTAGCTAGACCTTCGCATCCCTCTTGCCAGCTCTCCTGACATACTAAATCCTGGCAATTAGGGACCTAACAAAGTGAGGGGCGACACAGAGGTCACAATGAAAAGGACTATAGTTTTATATAATTTTATAAGTAAATGACATAATGCTTTTAGGCGCATTCAATGATCTGTATATGTTATCCCAGAAAGAAAATGAGACTTAAAAGAATGAATTATGACCTAATCGTAAGACTGAGCTCAGGAATTCTCTGAAAATGAAAAAGCAAAATACAGAAATAATATTTTTTAGTGAGTGTAATATATAATGTATGGCTGCAGAGTTCAACTCAATGGGTTACTGATCAGCCTCAGGTGTTGATCATTTTCTCTCTGAACGTGTAAGTCATAAGGCTGTTTTACAGAATAGCAGTTCTGACAGACTGTATTAAAGAGCCATGAGCTTCGCTGCTTAGATGGAGCAGAAAGTTCCAGATCTGAAAGCACCTTGCATCTAGTTTTCGAACCCGTTTTAAGTGCTTGAATTTAAGACTGGTCAAGAACAAGTAAAAATATCACAGTCACTGGGTTTCTGTTTCTACATTTTATGGACTCCAACCATTCATAATTTAAATGAAGTTTTTAAAAATCAAGTATTTTTTTAAGTGTCCTTGGATTTATAAACATAGGCATTATATTTACAGTCCCAATAGGGAACTTTTAGGGGACTTCTTTTGTTGGTTGGTTTGGTTTTTCTCCTCTTTCCCAACACACTTAAGAAATTTCCAAGTAGGGGATGTCTTTTCTTGACCTAGTCTGACATACTCTGCAATGACTGAAGTTTTTGCTCTTTTTGTTTTTCTGTTTTGCAAATTCTTCCTTTTGCCAGAAATCTTTTCCTACAAAAGACTGTTATAATTCATGCTGCTTGTCCATTGGCCCTGGCTGCTTCTCCTTCAAAAGCACGAGCTTCGTGGTAGCCGTTCCCATTCGGCATGCCATGCATCGTCCCCAAGTTGACTCTTCTCTCCTCGTACTGCACCTTAGATAAATTCCAAACCCTCGTCAGCTTCGTTAACCAAAATGCCATAAGGAGGGGGAGGAAAATGGACAAACAGGGTGAGTCACTGTCAAGGTAAAGGAGCAGAGCTATGTAGTTACAACCCCAAATCTTGGGTGGCACAGACCAACCATCAGGTCCTGGGAATACGGGCAGACGTTGCATTGGTCATGCCTGCGTGCATGATAATGCCAAGATTTTATGTTGGCAATTTCTTCAAATAACCTACAGTTTGATTCTCTGGCTATGACCCCCGGATCATCGAGGTGCTTGAGCTGTCACTTTTGTACATCGTTTTTTCTAAGTGACCAATCCCACCAAACATCTGTGGAGCCAGCCCAGAAAGGCTCCTCAGATGGACCTCTCATTTTTCAGCTGATTATACAACGGAGAATGTAGTACAGGCATTAGATAGACAGACCTGCTTGATTTAGCTTCTACGTTTCACTACAATTACAGATAGGATACTATAGTTACATGGAAGTCAGTGCAAGATGCATGCTAGATTGCTTTTTAAGTTTCTCGGGTCAGTTTCATGGTTTTTGCTTTCTTGCCTTAAATGGTCAAGAGATTATTTGAAGTCAACACTTGAAAACCATCTTTTTGCCTCCACTCTTAAAGCTACACCTACTCATAAGAAATGCATGACCCTATATGAAAGTCAGGAATTTCTAGAACAATGTGGAGGGTTGGAATAATCTCCTTCTGAGGGTCCCTAATCCACACATGCAGAATACAGGATAGACTTCTGGCTTATGTCATCAGCCCTTTCTACTAGATCTTGACAGAATGGTTCCAGAAGCTAGAAATTAAGGGAAGAAGTAAAAGCTAAACTGTCTTTGATCCTGAGATAGAAAGCTATTATTTATTTGTCTTCAGTGTTCAAGGCATGACTAGTATTCCTAATTAGTCTAATAAATCCCCACATTTCCTGAAGTGAACACTAAGGGTATTGTCTTACTAACACTTTCATTGTTTTGTTTTGAACTGGTCAGTCATTCACAATAAGCTATGAGGGTGAATATGTGTTATAACATGTAAATCGTAGTTGCAAGGATCTCCTGTGAAGATTGAAGTAGGTTGGGTTTTATTTCCATCCCCGCCACACACATCTCATGGAATTGTATGGTCGACTTAATTGGCACCACACCTTTGTATGATATTATACATTATCCTTTATTTATGTAAAATAAAATGCCTTATATATTAAAGAGTAAGTGCAATAATATGAAATAGCCTGTACATTTTTTAAATGTTGTTGCCAAGTTATGTAAATCCACATCTCTGTAAACAACATTTTTTAAGTAATTTTAAGAAAATAAACACTGCTTACTATTTGGGTTTTCTCCATTGTTCTGCATTGATAGAATTAGCAGGATATGAAAAGTTGGTTACTACCCAATTATTACCTAAGCGGGTGACAGGTACAAAGGCAACAGAACTCAAGCTAGCCATTTGCCATTCTTATATTCGACCCAACCCCAAACCATTCCACCTCTAAAATCTTAAACGTACTACTCTTTTCTTTAATGATAGCATGTGTCAGCACACACCAGAGAGAGAAGCATCCTCAACAGGGTCTCACCCCAATCCTCTTTCCTCCGCCCTCCAGCTCTTTGGTATCCTCAGTGCCTGCCCATGTGCCCGGTGTATTCCGGCTGATCCCAACCCAGTCAACCACATGGTTTCCAGCCTTTCAGGCAGGGCACTATATTACCACTGAGCTACACTGGCTGGACCCAACATCCTACTCTTCCACCTCAACCTCCCAACCTCCTGCTTACTTCCCACTAACTCCTATCTCCTACAAGACCTCTAATCCCTTTGACAGTTGTCAGTTTCCTCCCCTATGCAAACTGGACTCTGGTAGAGCATAGCAATCTATGTCCAGCACATAGGCTTCTATCACTTGCCCCATTGTCCAGTCTACCAGTCAATCCAGGACCCTTCCAACCAGCTGGCATCTTGGTTCTTACACTCATTCCTAGAGAAAAAAATTCAACCACACAGTACACTACTATACATTTCCTGATTTCAGACCTCAACTGGATCCTCAATGTTGCTCAGCAAGTATTTCCCTGCCAGTCTTTTCTCATTTTTCACAATGACTTTGTGCTTCGTTTTTCTCAAAACCTCAACTCAGTCACCCTCCCCCCAATACACTAGTTGATCTAGGATCCTACTTTACAGAGTAGAACAAAGGTATCTACTGCATTTAAATTGATGCCTGCATTTTAAACTCAAAGGGCCTAGAGTCACCTCACCAAACCCAAAGCCACATTCATGTCCAATTGCAGAAATTCAAGACATTGAAGATAAACTTGATGGGATCAGCAGATGATGTAATCGTTATGTCACCGGACGCCCATGTAATTGACTATGGTTAAAGTCCCAGACCTGGCAGCTTAAAACTGACGCTGAGCGTGTTGGCATGCATGCCCAAAAGTCTCAAGAGAAGGGATTGTGGCGTGGCCATCCCCTGGGGGGAGGGGTGATGTCTCACTTTCTGTGTCTCACTGGCAAGTGCACGTGTCCTGTAGTAAAAACCTCTCTCTATACCAAAGGAAAGGGGAAAAAAAAATAAAAAACTGAAGATAAACTTGAAAAATCCTGATTAAATATTAGCCAATCAGATTCAGCAAAACATAAATCATGTACAACTCCAGGATACAAGAACGGCGTAAAGTTAAGGAATCTGTAGATAGGGAACCAGCAGTTAGTGTAATGGCTATGTTGCTGGACTCCCACGTAGTCGACCGCGGTTCGCGTCCTGAACCCGGTGGCTTAAAACTCACACCGGGCACGTGTGTGTGCATGCCCAAGATCCCAAGGGGAGAAAGGAGAAGGGATGACGGCGTGACCATCCCCCCTGGGGGGTGATTTCTCGCTTTCTGTCTCTATGTCTCTCTCTGTCTGGTGAGCGCACGCGCCCTATGGCGAAAACCTCTCCAAAAAAAAAAGAAAAAAAGAAATCTGTGAATAAAGTTCTTTATATTAGGACAAAAAGATTATCAAAGATGTCAATAGATACTTTTTTAAAACCTGCCTCACTCTCTAATGGAGGAACTCTAGAAACATTCCCATTAAAATCAGGTACACACACGTACACAGACTCATACAAAGGATGCTTGCTATAATTACTGTTGACTATGTTCTAGAGGTATAAGCGATTAAAGTTTTAGAGACATAAATCATGGAAAATAGCAAAAACATTTGCACCTAATATAGTGGGTACACATGCAAAAGCTCCAGCTGATAAACTATTAAATATTAAAATTCACTATGGTGGCTATAGAAATATTTCCCAAAAACGGTTTTTCTACCAATAGCCAATTAGAATATATATCATGGAAAAATTTTCTATAATCACAATAGCAACTGAAAATATAAACAATTTAGCAAGGACATCTAAAAAAATTATGAAACTATTAAGGAAACAAAAGATAATTCAAATAAGAAACAAGAATAGCTAGGGACCAGCAGGTGGCATGGTGGTTAAGGCACTGGACACTCCCACATGGCTGACCATGGTTCAAGTCCTGAACCTGGTGGCTTGCTTTCTCACTTCCCCTTTCTCTCTCTCTCTCTCTGTGCGTGTGTCTCTGTCAAACTAAAACCAAGTGAATGAGTAAATAAAATTAAAAAAAAAGAATAGCTTACTCTTGGATAGGATGATTCAATACTATAAAGATCTCAGTTCTCCTGAAACTGACTTATAAATGTTAAGCCCAGTTACAATCACAAAGAACTTAAGGATTTAATTACCTGAGAATGTATGTGCTCCCCAGAAACAGAAAGGGAGAGGGGGAGAAAATCACTTCCCCAATGGGAATCAGGGCATGATAAGCCCCTGTTGAGGGTGCTTCTCATTCTCTTTTGCACTATTATGAATTTTAAAAAAGATTGTGTCCAACTCAGAATCCTTAAAGATGGTTCCAAAGAAAAGAGCATTAACATTGTGAGCATTAACAACTATGATAGATCAAAACAAATAGAAAAATGTTCATTTCTCTGATATATTTTAAACAAACTAATCAGTCATCTTTGGAGGGTACCAGGGGACTATGAAAATTGGTAAACTCTAAGAATATATCCTACTCTTCCTATATGCATCATACTAAAAAAGGTAATGTGGATGAGGAGTTTCTTTATAGAAGTATTTTAGCTAACAAAGAACTAATGGTAAGAATTAAACTATTACTATTCTACAACCTATCACAAGAATTGCCAAGAGTTCAAACCAAGGTTGCTAATATCCCAAAAGGAGATAAGCAGGCATCTCATGCCTCCTGTGGAAGTATACACCACTGCCACCTATGAGAAAAGGCTGCCCACACAAACCTGAATCTGATTAAGCCTCTGAACCAAAGACCACTTCTTAACAGTGAACCAGGTTAAACTATACCATGTGGATATAATCAGGAAAAATCCAAATTCCAGGGACAGACAATGTATAGTGCTCTAGGAGGCTGAATCCCACCTGGCGAAGTGTGTGGTAGAAAACACACCAGGAGGGGCCAGCAGGTGGCAGAGTGGTCAAGGTGCTAGACTCCACTATGGCCAACTGTGGTTTGAATCCTGGACATGGTGGCTTAAAACTGATGCTGGCCACGTGTGTGCATGCCTAAAATCCCAAGAGAAGAATGGAAAAGGGGTTGCAGCATGGCCATTCCCCCTGGGAGATTATTTCTCACCCTCTCTCTCCAGCAAGCACACAATCCCTAAAGCAAAAACCTTAAAAAAAAAAAAAGAAGAAAGACAGAAAAGAAAAAATACCAGGAGCATTTCTGTAGGTACCCAAAATCTCAAAAAGAAAAAAAATGGAGAAAGGATTGTAGTATGATCACCCCCATTGGGGAGGGGTATTCTATCACTAAACCCCCCTTCAGCAACCACACACTCCCTGTAGCAAATTTAAAAAAAAAAAAATTTAAATACAAACTCTGGAAAAATACGCAGAGCAGATAACATTTTTTTTTTTTGTTCATGTTTTAGAGGTTTTTGTCTTAGGGCGCATGTGCTTGCAGAGAGAGACAGTGAGGAGGAGAG